GGTCAGAACCGGGGTCTGCGAAAAATTCCTGTATGTGTTGCTGTGGCGTGGCGAGCGAAGCGTGTGAGGAAATGGGGGCCGTTTCCGCGGGAGGTTGTTGCCAACTCAAGGTGCCGGTGACTGAATGATGCCGCAAGCGATAACGCCCTTACCCCCTGTGCCGCACAGACAGAACGGGAAGCAGATTCCAAAAAGCCTGCTAGATATCGGTGTTGCGGGTACCTTCGGCGGACAACCGAAGAGGCATGGAACACAAAAAAACACGCCGGGCATCCCGACACACGTGGACCAAAGGCCCACCTACACACGCAAGAGAGAAAAAAAGGTTGTATGTAATCCACGGCAGTTTCCTTTCTCATATAGTCACCTTGGATGACGACGATGGGGGCGCCCTCTCCCCCATTCATCCCCTCCTTCTCGACAACCATGTTTCCGTACCCGTCTTCTCGCCACGGCAGCCCGCGGTCATCCGCGAACCGTTTCACGTAGGCCAGCGCCGCGGCTTCGTGCTTGGAGGCCCGGGGTATCGAGCTGAGTTCTTCGAAGAACTTGAAGAGGGGCTGAAAGAATGGAAACGGCGGTGGCGGTTGTTGCGTTTCGTGTGGGCGGGGGGGGGGGNGCACGGTCAGGCTACGGGAGGCGACGAGAAGACGACACGCGTCCCTTTTGGCGGCTGACGTGTGCATCGATCAGCAGTGGTGATGACTGTTGGTGGGCATCCAGGGGATTATCTAGCTCGATAGCCCCACAACAGCAAAGACGAAAACTGGGGCAGAGATGCATCGATGACAACACACACAGCAGATGTCCATCGGCGATCGGACTCGGTGTACGGTACCGAAGTAGGTCATATATGCTACAATAAGTAGGACTCTTGAGTTTTTTGCCGTTTCGGGCGATTTCTCCTCGTGGCAACGAGCCCGAGCTCCGGGTGCTCGAGCGGGCCGACTCTGCTTTGGGAACATTTCCCGATTGCAACGGCGCAGATCCGGTCCCCACCGCCCACGCCGTCGGCTCCCAAGTGCGCACGGGGCTGGCTAAGTTTGCGAGCCCGCCTTCCCAAAACAACAAAGCCTGCAACCTATTACGTGGCACTGGCATGATAGCTTCAGAATTCAAGCCAGCGAATACACCACCCTCGTCTCGTACCGTTCATGTACATCACACAAGAGCGAAAAAAACACTTGACCCTCGACCATGGCCAAGGGGAGAAAACCATCATCTATTCGACCCACTCAAGCTACTGCTGTCTCTTTTGCTGGATCTTCGAACCTCTGCTGCTATAACGCCCACGGCCGAGCTGCTTGGTTGCGCTTCCACCCCTCCCGCGGGTACCCGGCGGGGGCGGTTTGCGCCTCCTCGGCTTCAACCTCGGAGAGCCCCACCACGCTTCAGTTCTGCAACAAAGCGCAGCAGCTCAGCGCACCGCATGCCTCCCCCGACCTGGTACACGGGGCGCTGCCCACCAACAACATCTATCTACACACCGGCAAGAATAGACGCATGCGGAATGTAGCAACAACAAACCGCGGTATTTGCATTCCGCGTGCGTCTATTCTTGCCGGTGTGTAGATAGATGTTGTTGGTGGGCAGCGCCCCGTGTACCAGGTCGGGGGAGGCATGCGGTGCGCTGAGCTGTTGCGCTTGTTGCGGGACTGCGGCGTGGTGGGATATGCCGAAGGTCGGACCCGAGGAGGCGCTGCTGCCCACGTCCGCCCGCACCCACCCGCAGGAGGGGGCGGGAGCGGAAGAAGCAGCGGTCGTCGGCAGCAGCAGAGGTCTAAAGAGACAGCAGCAGCGGCTGGAGTGGGTTGAGCGGGATGATGCGGCGGCGGGGGTCCTTACCATCTTCGAAGCTGGTGGGTGATGCTGTTGGTTGCTGTGTGTGCGCTGGCCTGAGGCTTGAAGCTATCCTTCTAGTGCCTCTCCTATCCTGCAGATTGCCGAGGTCTGCGATGTCTCTCTCTCTCCCCCCCTCATGGGCGCCCGCACACACCACAGTCTTCAACCCACACGCACTGCGTTGATACCTCTGCACACACACCATTCTCGCAGCTCGCACAGCGTCGAGAGCACACTACGTTCCACGCGGAGCAAAATGTAGCAATTTCTCCTAACTAATCTTGTTTGTCATGTATATCCCCTCCTCATATACCAACCCAACGCCAACCCTAGCCTGCCCACCAACAACAAACGACACAATGTGTCCACGGAAGGCAGGTCGCGCGCGTCCAGTTCGTGGACCCCATGCTCGCTCTTCAGTGCTCGCGCACGTTCATGCTTTAATTAAGGAAAATAAATACACACAGAAAGACTGCAATTGTACAGTATTATAGTACCCGGGTACAGGGTATTGCCATTTGAGCCGCAATTTTATCCGCACTCGCCCAGGGGTAGAGTGAACTTCGATAATTCTGTCAAACTAGGAGCATATATGAGCGGAATTGTGAGCCAATTAAGTGACCGAGATGTTTGATGGACTCTTGGAATCTTGATCTCTCCTCGGACTCCACTGCATGTAGACTGCTGCTGTAGGTGTGCAGGTGTGCGCGAGAGCCCGGCCGTTGGGTCTCAGGTTTAACTCTGACACGCCTCTCGTTGTATATAAACGAGTGTACCGCATGCGAACCAAAGTTCGTCGCTTCACCGAATGCAACCCACCCGTGATACAGATGAACACTAGACCGGGGGATGCTTTCGAAATGCGTACATTAACAAGCGCATCGCTATTCAGCTCCCAGATCTCAGGGAGGGGGGTGGTATTAGGCGTCATATGACCCACCCGCCCCCCACCCTCACCCGCCGGCAGGAAACCGCAGCAGTGCTCTGCAACCGCATCTAGTCCCAACAGCCTGGGTCATCATGAAGCTGCTTAACCTCATGCATCGTCCCACACCAAGTGAACCACCGGATACCTGTGGTTGAAGATCGCCGGTGACGACAGCAGCGCAGCCCATGTCGGGGGCTGCCCCAGTGGCAGCACTGCACGATGACGCTGCTGCCGAGGACAGCGATCTACCTCTCGCGAAGGATGCGACTGAGACCCAGGCAGGTAAAACATTGGCTCGGAACGCCCTGCTTGATACCACAAGCATCGCTGCCAGCACAGTAGAGCGAGGAAACAACATGCTACAACGGCCCTGGGCCGGCATGTCTCCGTGTCTCCCACGATAAACTCTCCGTCAGAAAAAAAAGAAGGCACGAACGAAAAAATGTTGACGGTTTCACTTTTCGACGGCGGGAGACAAGAGATGGAGGGAGAGAGGACGATATTCGCGTGCACGCGCGTATCGTACCACGAGCTCTCAGGTAATAGGAGGGGAACGCAGTTCGCGCCCGATCGATTGCAAGAAGGGCTCTGCAGAAGGATGCTTTGAGGTGCTTGCACGTCGAGGAAGTCATCTTGGTCGTGTACCGGGTACGAGTCTGTCTTGGTTCCCGACCATCACTGGGGGAGGACCGTGTGTGCGCCGATGGTCAACTTGCATGATCTGGCCAGCAAGGGAGACTTGGAGGGAGTCCGCAAGTTCCTAACACGTTCAGCCGCGAAAATAAACAACACGGACAAGGCAGGACAAACGCCTCTCCATCTTGCAGCAAAAGGGTGAGCTCACATATTCACGTGCGGCTGATTGTACACACCGTGAACACCTAAATGCCTAAAATAGATATAGACTACAGTGCCGGCCCGCACTTAGGAACCTCCTATATTGGGCGAGGCTCAGTTCTTATTGGCTGCCCCAACCCGAGCACCAGTTCTTATTTGCCAAGTTCTTATTTCGTCGTCAATTCTTCTCCAGAAAGGGGCGTTCTTGTTTTTACAGTATTTTAACATCATTTGCTATATTGTCGGCTGTCAACCACGAGCAACACTAGACTAGTAGTACTGCTGTCGATACAAGAAAATACCAAGGCATGGAGCAGCAACTGTCAACCTTCTTGGTCCACAAGGGTGACGTTGGTCCTGCGTACCCTTCCTGATCTACTAATGATCTCAAGCAAAACCCAGGAGCCTACAGCCGCATCCGAATCTCCGCTGTACGTTCCATGCGTGCCGTTCCACGCCATCCCTCGCGCGTACTCTGGTCTAGCTCCAGCTGCATACGGTAGTCGTACAGGTGGCGAGTGTCCTTCTGAGGTTGTTGAGTGATCAGCCCTCCAAACCACCCCATGCCCAGCCTAACGAGCACTCCACGCCGCAAAAGCAATCTGTCAAGAGCAACGAGTTTAGCTTCTTGAATACGAAAGCCGACCGGGATCTCCATTCCCTGTATCTCATCCTCCGGGTCTTGTGGGTCCATGCTGTCGTCGTCGTCCAGAAGAGCTAGCTCGTCGGTCTGGGGTTGAGACATGTCTGCGAACGATGCAACGGGAAACACAAGAAGCTAGGGTGTCACGTCGCCAAACTCAACCTGAACTTATCATAATTTGAGTGTAGCCGTGCGCGGAAACAGGCTAACGTCAACGGGAAGGACATCGTTATCAACAAAAGAAGATGAAGAGTTGGTTTTGTGCAAAACAACTTACCGCCGTCGTCTTCATCGCTGGAGTCAACGCCCTCCATGAGCGTGTCACATCCTCCATCGCCCTCCTCCGCCCGCCCCTCAGGCTCATCGTTGCCGTTCTCTGAACCTTGTTCGTCGTCGCTACTGTCTTCATCGTTAGCGAAGGTATACGGCTTGTCCAAACCCTCCAAGGTGATTCGATCATCGCCCGAGCCGTCCACGGTCATGGCCATCCCGCACTTTTCGAAAAGTCGGTATCGGTACGCCTGTTGGCTGTTGAGTCTTGCCATGGCCGCTCCCATCCACTGAATGACCAGGACGCGCCGATCAGAAGCTGTCAGCGACGCGGTTTCCCACCTCTCGAGGTTGCCCGACTGCTCGAGCCATGTGTCCATCTGCCTCCCGATTTCCACCTTGAGAAATCGTCCGGCTCCTGCATCAACTGGCTGCACCTCGTCCGTACACTCCGAAGGGCCGTACCAGGCGAGAGTGTTGAAGTGCTTCGCAAAACACTCCTTGAACTCGTCCGTGGTCTGCGCGTGCAAGTTGTCCATGATAAGAATGGACCTCGCCTTGGGGAGCTCACCCTGCCCGCGCATCACGCTTTTCTCGGGGGCACCCAGGGGCACGACGCGTGCGTACAATGCCCACCCTCCCCCTCTAAAAAAATACAAATGTTGATATGTGGGGTATGTACCCCTCCCAAATCCAATACTCTGTACTCTGGGATCACTCCCCCCTCTTCCCTGCTTCCTCCTGCGAGTGTTCTTATCTGACAGCCGCTGCATTGCTGTCGTTCTTATTTGTGGCAGCAGTTTTGCACCTCAGGTGTGTGTTCTTGTTCCTAACAGGGCGTGCAGCTGAGCACGTGTTCTTATCGGTAAATTCTTAAGTTTTGGATTTTTTGAGCATCAAATTCTTAAGTGCCATATTCTTAAGTGCGGGCCGGCACTGCAGTCTACTGTACGCAGGACGAGTGTACACACAGTTGATATTAATTGCTGCAACTGACGCACTTTCATCGATCGGCCGGTTGGCGTCGTTGGTACTTATGGTAACATTCATCCTTCACAGATTTTTAGCGCTATTTCTATTTTCAGCGCGTGGACTGACGTCGCTGCGGTACAAAGAACTCAGCGCATTAGCATTGCACCCGATTATTGAACCACAAGTGCCCTTCACATTAAAATCGAGCAATCAGTGGAGGGTGACTTGCTTGTAAAGATAAGTCAATATATTCGACACCTCTCCTACATACATATGTAGGCATCTCTCACCTCCGTAGAGAGCGGCCAATTCCGGCCTCTGCTGCGTAAGTAAGGCTAGAGCACCGATGAGAACGACTTACAATCGGCTAGGCTTCACTACAGATCTGCTGCGTCAGCGGCTGGAACATATGTACCAGTTGAAAGAGTATTCCTCAATGCCGTACTTGCCCCCACACTTGTCAATCGCCACTTTTATGTCACCGTACTGTACGGCCTCAATTGCCTCTCTCGTCAAATCCAACGAAAAAGCGTTCGACCCAGGGTCACCAAGGACAAATCCTCGCGGCACACGCCTAAATTTGCCAACGTGGCAAGGAAACATCTGTCCCCTCGCTCAAACAACGCACGAAACTCCCTTTTGAGTTCGATATGCCGCTTGGATTCTTGGATAACCCTTACTTGGAAGGGATTTCCTGACTAGAAGGAAAGATCGGCAGCCTAGGACCCTTGAAGTTCGACCATGTCCATTCGTCCAAGCCGCCTACCTCAACATGTGTTTTTCTCCGTTTAATTGATCGCACGTCGGCAACAAACACTTGGTGTATGAACTCCCAATCTCAGCGGTCATGTTGAGGTCTGTCGTGAACTACTTGCGTCAGTGGCGAGCGTGGATATCGAGGACACCAAGCACACCACACCTCTACTGCTCGCGGTAGAGAACAACAGAGCCAAGGTGGCGCAAGTTTTATGCGAAGCAGGTGCATCGACCAACGTCGGGCTGCAAACTTCAGGTACGTTTGGAGCTTCCTCGGGAACTTGTCGGTCTGCGCTCTGGCGTGGGACAGAACGGCAGATCCATTTGCGGGTTGTTGGCGCTACGGTGTATGGTAACGTGGAAGAGATAAGCGCAGCCCACGTTTGGGTATATGAGGCCAAGGCGGGAAAGATCATCCTGTGAAAATTGATCATTCCCGCGTATCTCATTCATTCCTGCTTCGAGACGAACTCTCTCCATATATCATGAACCCTCGTTGGACTAGTCTAGACTAAAGCTTCCGCCGGGCATGCACGGTTTACCCTATCCCGACCTCCGATCGCAGCCGTTCTTGAGCATCCTTGCTGACTGAAACCACATTGACGCTAACTCCAGCCTTGGCCGCGACCCAGAGACCCAGCGACCTTGTGCCACCAAGACACCAAATTGGTTTGTAAGTGCACGCTTGGTGTAGCTGTTCTGTCTTCGAAAATGATTGCACATACACGCACCCGTCGTACCTCCCGTTTCTAACCAGACGGTCGGTCACCTCTACACATCGCGGCGAACAAAGGATTCGTCGAGTGTGCAGAAGTCCTGCTGCAGCACGGTGCACCGATTGACACGAGCCGCAACAAGTGAGTGGGCGTTGTTCTGTAAGGACGCTGTCGGCGAGATCTTCCCTCACACGTCAGTTACTGGGTAACCTCCGCAGCTGCACAGATAGACAAGTCTGCGCTATCTGGATGGGTATTCTGGATAGATTCGGCGTACGGTCCTTGTCTTCTGCCAGCTCAAGGTACACGACATCGAACTACACCACGTAAGCACCAAACTGAACTGGCCCTGTTCCCTCACCCCTGCACCGGACACGTAGCCTAAGTCCCCTCCCCGCCCCTCACCGACGTCCAATGCCACACTCGGTGACATGTTGCCTACTAAAGCTCAGAACTCACGAAAAAAGTCCCATCGTAACAATATTCACACGATACGCATGTACACTACACCGCTTTCTCTGCGTAGAAGCCGATATCAAACCATGAGGCTAGTCAGCGCTGACTATTATCCAAGGGGTTGAACTCGGCTTCAATACATCGATCGCACTTGTATCAAGCACCGCCGACAACGCTATGACATCGTGATGCTCCATTCGGAAAAAAATAAACATCTATCGCTGACGACAACGGGATCGTTTTCGGCCGGGCGCCAGGTGGGGTAACCTCCCCGAGGAGGACTGCGTGGCGTCCGAAATACGTACCCTGATCGCCTCGGCGCGCCAAGAGCGCGATTCCGCCGGTCCCGTTGCCGGTGCTGCTGGCAGCTCCCCGTACAACCCGTACGCGGCATCGGCGCCGCCACCGATGGGAGAACGGAAGGAGGGAGTCGGCCTTCCTCCGGGTTACTCTTCGCCACAAACTCCGCCGTCGTGTGAGTATGGGTTTTCGTAAGGGGGATTAGCACGGTGGTAATAACGACGTGTTTTTGGTTGGATCTGTAGTGGTGTGTGCCTCTCCGCACAACAAAAGTTGGTGTTGTTCGCGTGGACCAGCTAGAAATCTGGTTTTATTCCCAGCCGATGGTATGGCCGTTGTGTTCGCCATTCAGCGAGCGTCGTTTCGGTGTTTGTAGAGAAGCTACCAGCAGAAGATGTATACTTAATAATGTAATGAACTACTGCCTCATGAAGAACGTCCCGTGTTTTCAGTTTTTAAGCGACACGATCTGCTCGCGCTCGACCGTCTCCCGCTGGACGATTTTTGAACGCGCGCGCCGGGTACACAGACCACGAGTCTGCCAGCCCAAGCCAGATCACAGCCGCGGAGGGAAATACGTAGTGAGGAAGGGGCGGTGGGAAACCCCAGCCCTCCCCCCCTAGTCCACAAGCACGCAAGGCCAACAGCATGGTAGGGCACTGCTGCGCCGGATGCTATATGCGCCGAAGCGGTCCAGGCAGCTCACGCTGTGCCACCACGTCGTGTGTGGCGCTCGCGCCCGCCGAGCCAGATGGAAGAGATGTTTGCCCTGGTTACATGGACGCCGACCAAGCGGTTAAGAGAGAAAATAGAAGCAGTGGCCCCGCCCACCCGCCACCCTTCATTTGTTGTCCCTACTACGATTCCGGCTGCGACTGCGCCAACCTCTACGGTCGGTCGTTAGTGCAGCCTTTCGCTCAGCCCTCCTCGGTCGTGGACTTCGTACTTGCTGGTATGAGTAGACTAGAGTAGTAGTAGCACAAGTTTAGTCGCGGGCGAGTTTAGACCTTTGCGAGCTACGCTCTTGGCACTCCTTGCTTGTACTACAGTAAGCGTTATTGAGTTAGAGAGATTTACTACGTCCGTCACACCCAGCCACGCGGCTCGTCTTGCTACATATGTACTTCGAAGTACTTTATTTACTTTTCTTGGAGACGGAGGGGCGGGCGGACGGACGGACGTAGATTCATTCGTCCCGGGAACAAAGCCACGGGGACCACGGTGTTGTAACTGCTGGGTGTTGAGAGAGTGAAGTCGAACGGTCGTGCGTTGTGTCTCGTTGTCGGCGAGACATGTGCGGCCGCTTCCGCAGCTTACCAAAAAGATCGACCAGCGCACATGTGCGTACAACCTTCGTTAGAAACGCTGAGTCTACCCATTGAACTTCTCAGCCAGCTTGCCCATTGGACTACTCAGTCAGCGCTGACAGAGCAGTCTAACGGTGAAGTCTTCCTATCAAACTTGTTCGCCTGGCTCGCTGACAGATTAGTCTTACGGGTAAGCCTTTCTAACAACCTTGTGCGTCTGGTTCTGCTCCGCATCGCAACACGACACAACGAAGAATGACGACAAGAAGGCCGTTCGTTTCGTTTGGGCGGCCTTTGAAACCCGATTCCTCCACAACAACAATAGCTATTGATGCTTCGCTTGGGTTCGGTGGAAACTCACTCTCAATCACTTTTGCAATCCTATCGTTCGGGCATACGACGATCTTCCCGTCACAGACGAAACAAGGTGCGACATGTACAAATCGTGCATGCGTCAGTCTCGTCTCGGGGAGGTGGTAATAATCTGCGTCATGATGCGCGTTTCGTGCCGCATTTTGAAATGTGTCAGGAAGGTTTCAGGATGTATGCGTTTCCATGGAAGAAGATGACATACCAGAACCTTTACGCTGGAGAAATCTGCCGCAAGTCACCCTCCGTGTCGCCTTACTGCTACGCTGCCTATGATGTCTGAAGTATTTCGTTTGTGGTCGTGGCAAGTCGTCGCACAATCTCAAACGAGTGTGGGGGGCACACAGATGGATTTGTAACCTTTCCTGCTCGCGGGACAATATTTTCAAGAAAGGGGGGGGGGGGGGCAAGGGGCTACTTTTTTTTTT